CATTCACTTATATATTTTAAAACTACACATTATCGTTATTTAGAATATTTTTTTGCAATTTCTTAAAATTAAAATTCATTTATGAATTTGAATATATATAAAAACTAACAATAAATGACCAATGGTTAGCGTTAATGTTAGGTTATGTTGAAAGCTTTTATGAATTAAGTTCACAGAAATAGAAAGTTGCATTTCATGATTTAAAAAAAAAGCTTTTGGCAACTGTTTTTTTTAACTAGAAAACTTATATTACAACCAAAAATTAATTTCGCAAATTTTTATAGTACACACTGCTTTGCAACATATTACAATCAATCCTCAATCTCTCTAGTGGGACGCTCAAGTGGCGCAAAAAGCTTGTAAAAGCTTTAAAACAGTTAAAGCTACCGATATCGATAGAATCCTTACCGCCTTATTGCAAAATATGTCAGCTTTATTAGCAAAAATACCAAGCTGGGGGTCAGAAGTCAAACTATTACGAAGATGAACTCCGAGTGGGGGCCGAGGTTCGTTGCCGGATTTCTGGTGTACTTCATAAATATTAATATTAATAGAGTTTGGAGAGTTCAATTATATTTATTGCATACGTCCGTCTATGTACGGGCGTGAACGCTCGAGAATTAGGTCGAGGCAACTACCTTTCCAGAGGGGAAATCATATAGACTAATTAGTCAAATATCCTTTCTATTGAAAGATATGAAAAGTAGCTGCGTTGTTTGGATCAAACAACAAATATGCCCCAACCGGTCGTCATTCCCACAAAATGTGTAAATAAAAGTTAAATCGATTGATATCGATGTACATACATGAAGTGCTTGGGTATAATTGGAAAATCCATGTAAACGTAAACGAGATAACAACCACGCGCCTTTCCTTCACGCGAAGTAAGCTTTCATGCCAATCTCGCCAAATGGCTCATTTGGGCTCAGCCAGTACTAACTTGCCTAGTTGAGGATTTCTTGAGCAATAGACAGGCTTTTTATCAATGTGAGAGAGTTGAAATAATCCACGGAACCAATTATGCTATGCCGCAAGGGCACATCTTATTTCCGTTACCCTGGACAGCTTGATAAACCAAGTACAAAAACTGCTCTCCACAGTTAATAGAGAGCGCTGTTAAAATCGCTGCTAAACGGCATGAGCACCCCCAAACTAAGTCAAGTATCTCTGTGTAGTCTTTGATAAAAACTCATAGAGAGGAAACATTTCGAGTGTAGGGCAAACAAAGTGCTCTGCATCCGGAACAGCTGCCGACGGTCTATTGCGTCAAAATGATGGCTACGACCCAAACGGTGCAGGAACAAGGCTATGTCCTGTCGACTATGTAGTTTGGAATGCAAACACTGCTCAAAAGTCGAATGTCAAGCAGGCACAAAAGATGTCCGTTTAATAACGATTACATCAGCGGAAGACTGGGAGTCAAATCTACAATGAAAATGTTAGCGGGAGCAGGAGCAAATTACAGCAGAAACTCTAATTGCAAGGGCATACTGGGCGCTGCGGAACAGTTTAGTGTTGATATCTGGTTGTTTGCATAGAGTATATGAAAAGGATGATGACCTATGGTCTCGCAGTCTAATTGTAGTTCCGAAGTTGAGATCTCCGGACATTTCAAAGTGTTCCAATAGAATACCGAACGGCGCTTTTATTGGGTTGCTTGCCGTCCATCGGTCGGCGGAATGGACTGCAAACTGCAAGGAATATATTGAAGTTAAAGAGCAGAAACTCAAAAGTCATAAACATTGCAGCAACGTGCTCCTTTCAAACGAGTTGCAATGGATGCTGCCGGTCCATTACCTATGAGCAAAGTAGACAAGGATGTCTTTATGGTTACGAACTAATATATGTATTCGTTGAAATATGTAGAGGAATTGGTCAAAAATAACTACCGATCAGACACACTTTTATCAAACGTTGAGGGCCTCTCCAAGGCTAGTTAACATAACATTAAAGTGTGAAGCCGCACTAACAGCTAGCCGCTTCTAGACAATCGGGACACTTTACCAACTGAGAAGAGCAAATCAATATACAAAATATTATAACAGAACTCGACCTAAGCGTACAATGCGTCCGGGAAACGGAAATCTTCGTCCCACACTCCTTCCAAAGAAGAGAAGATTAGGCGGCAAACAGAGCTTTGAGTAGTAATGACGTTCTTCTATTACCTGTACAATAAGGTAGATAGCTTCAAGCTCAATGACGTCTGCCTACCAAGCCAAATGGGCAACACTTTAAAGCGATTGGACCATGAAGGATCTCTCATGGTTCTGGAGCGCTTCCAATGCACGGCGTACTACTACTGAGACAGAGAGCTTAATGAGCCCGTTCACGTAGCCCCAAGGAAACAGTCACTGACGGCGTGTGAAAGACAAGTTGTTCTTTCTGTGTAAGTTGTAAATTGTACAAGTCGATTGCCATACTCCAAACAAAGCGAATGAAAATTAGTGTGCGCTTTTAACATACGAATTCTTACTATAACGAAAAAGAAAAGATTTTCACATTTGTATCATTTTGTTTTGCATTCTAATTCGTTTCATTCAAAAATTTACGAGTTTTTTTTGTTATGCGTCTAATTTCTGTGCTGTATGTATGCATGTAGACATTATGTCTTTTACGCAGTTTCATACTTTTCTGCTAAACTTTTTATTTGTTATTGTTATTTTATATTTTCATAATTTTTTTTTTTTTGTTTCACTAATACAAATTTATTTATTTCTTACACAACTATTGGTTTTCACAATATGCACCTATTGAATTATTTATTTATTTATTTATTTATTTGCTTGTCTTAATTATTGTATTTAGTTGTAATTATTATTAATTAAAATAGTCGTTGTGTCACATGTTCGCATTTAAAGTCATATGTATGTATGTATGTATGTACATATTTTTAACTATTCACGTATGTATGTAAGTTTTTAATGTTTTCACTTTACAGCTTTGTGTATGCTTCTGTGTATTATCACTTACTTATTAAATAGGTATGCGCGTGTGTGCTTGTTGAAATGAATTTATTTTTTATTTTTCATTTTCTATTTAATTTTTTTTTTCTGAATATTGTAGAAGCGACTAACATTATACGCCCACAACAACTCACACAGCATTCCTTAAGTGTGACCTCAGCATTGTGTTCACTCTATTTATGTTACCTTTTTGGTCTCGAATTGTAGTGTTGCCACACTTCTGAGTTTCTTATTATGTTTTAATGTTTTGCTTCGTCTTTCTAATATTTTTGCATAATTTTACACATTTTTTGGTTTATTTATAAATGTTTTGTCTTTTGTTTTTGGCAGTGAACAAAGTAAATAATTACCGTTTTGCGTCTAATCTGATTTTGATAAGTACATACCTACTAAAATTCATTCAATAAATGCGATTTATTCTTAATTTAATTTTATGCCATGTGCTTTGCGAGATATCGCCGAAAAAACCAATAAAATATGGAATATATTTTTTTTACAGCATAAAAAATTAAAATAAAAAATAAAATAAAATAAAACAAACTAAAATAAAGTGATATGAAGAAAATAAAATGAAATAAAAAAATAAAAAATTAAATACAATAAAAAATAAATAAAATAATACAAAATGAAAAAATTAAATACAATAAAAAATAAATAAAATAAAATGTTAAAGATATAAAATATAATAATATACAATAAACAAAATAAAATAAAATGAAAAAATAAATTAAATAAAATAATCTTAAATATAGAAAAATTAAATAAAATGCTGAGAATATAAAATAAGTTAAAATAAAATACAAGATAATTAAATAAAATAGAATAAAATGAAAAAATAAATAAATTAAAATAAAATTTAATGAAAAAATTAAATTAAATTAAATTAAATGGTTAAGATATAAAAAAAATAAAAATGGGATAAAATTAAATAAAAAAATAAAAAAACATATAATAAAGTACAATAAAATAAAACAATATAAAAATATGTAAAAAAATATTAAATGTTAAAGTTGTAAAATATAATATTATTTAATATAAACAAAATAAAATAAAATACAATAGAGTGGAATAAAATGAAAAAATAAATAAAATAAGATAATATTAAATAAAAAACAAAAGGAAATAAAATGTTGAAGATATAAAATAAATAAATATAAAACAAAACAAAATGAAAAAAAGACAAAATAATATAAAATTAAGTAAGTTATTATAAATTTAAACCAAAATTAAATAATATAATACAAAATTGACTTAAATCGAAAAAATAAAATAAAATAAAAGAAAAATAATATTAAATAAAATAAATCAAAATAAAGTGAAAAAAAAACAAAATAAAATTAAAGGAAAATAATATTAAATAAAATAAAACAAAATCAAATGAAAAAATAAAATAAAGTAAAGTAAAATAAATTAATAAATAAAATGAAAAAATTGGAATCATTAAGAACATAAATTAAAATAAAACAAAATTAAATTAAAAACTAAAATAACATAAAGTTACATCGAATAAAGTAAAAGAAAACGAAAAAAATAAAATAATAACTAAAACAAAATGTAACGAAAAAAATAATGAATTCAAATAAACTGAAATGAAAATAAAATAAATTATATTAAAATGGAATAAAATAAAATTAAATGAATTGAAGCAATGAAAATTCAAAAAGAATAAAATAAACTAAAATCAAATAAAATAAAAAAGTAAAATACTTTTTTTTTAATTTTCCATTTTATTAAATAAAATAATAAGAAATAAAATAAAACAAAAATAAAATAACATAAAATGAATTATATGAAAAAGATAGAAAAATAAAATAAAATTAATTAAATTAAATGGTATAAAAAAATTAAAAATTAACTAAAATCAAATAACATAAATACACCCTTTAGTTAAATATACTTAATATAATGTCTACTTAGTATTGCCGAGTATATAAAGAATTAACGCAAGTATTTTTTGGAAGAGAATAAAATTACTTTTGACTGAATACCATTCCTTTTTTTTGCAAATTGCTCAAAAAATTCTATTTAAATCGAAAGATTAAAAAAAAAAATTAAATTTACTTAAATTAGGTTTAATTATTGTTTTGATTGGCCCTCAGGGTACTTCAAATATCCCCAATGCAGCCACTTTCTTTGAATAAGAGCAATATTTTTTTGATCGACATCTCGTTTTCTACATGACGCAAACAAGTTAAGAAGATTTTCGCACACTGTGATTAATCTTACTTGGTAAATGAACTTTTGACCTTAATAACGTGTCCTTTTCTTAGTACTGAATTCGACTAATCTCAGAACGTACAATAACTCTAACTTACTGTGCTTTATTGCTTTTCAAGATTGAATTCGTCTTTTTTCAACACACAATATTTTTTTTTGTTTCATAACGACCTTTAATGCTGCTCGCCTCACCATAAACCGCTAATCACTCGCTTCAACGTCGAATTGATGATTGATGATCTAATTAGAATATGATCACGCCGTAAATTGTATAAAGCGTATTCTGCTCGAAGACGATAAATACAAGCATATCGTACGAAGGCTGATGAAAAGTTCGCCTACGAACACCGTTCGCCTTGTTGCCGTTGCTTCAGTCGTCGCCTGCATCCAGACTAAAGGCGCGTCGGTTGAGCGCCACGACCACGAATCTTTTTCCAAAGTACGGCGAATCTGCACAAAATAGAGACGAACACACATACAAAATTGCGTTTACCGTTTACTTTCACTTCACGCCAGCGATGTGTCGTTCAAACGATCCGATCGATTACTTCATTCACACAGCGATCGAAATACTACGATCACTGCACTCACCGATCATCGAATCGTTCGATCGTCTAATTCACTTTTTGCGTAGGAAATCGGTATATTTGCGTGCACGCTTGCGCACCTTTTTGAAAGCGTTACTGATCTTGAAGCTTTCAGTGAAATGCTGATGATGTTGATGATATTGCGAGTGATTGTAATGATGATACGAAAGTTGTGCATTGCTGGATGAATGCGTTTGCTCCCGTCCTTGTGTTTGGTATTGAAAATATGGATGATGTGTATTCACATAAGAAGCAGCCGCTGGATTTATGGAAGCCGACAGACATGGTGATGATGATGCCGGCGATGCGGGTGATAATGGTGAACGTGGTGTTGGTGAGAATTGACAACTGCCACGGCACGAAATTAAATTGTGATCCGAGGCAGCATCGAATGACTCAAAGGAGACACCCGTTGGTACAGGCGACTGCAGCAGGGAGGAGTGTTGTCCGTCACTGGTGGCAGTGATCGTGGGCGAGCCGCAAGTGGTGCTTGAGCAAACTCCAACCGCACCAGCTTCATCGCCTGAAGCTATAACACTGCCAGCAGTGCTAGCAAAGTCTTTGGGCAGTTCGCCAATGCCCAGCGGCTTATCGAATTGGGAGTTTGCTGACATATTAGTATAATCATAGCTTGGGTAGGTGTAGGGCAGGTAGCCGCTGTGGTGTGCCTCAGTTGAGACAGCCACTGTATCGCCGCTGCGTGTGGTGTTGATAAACTTCACTTCGTTGGCATTGCGTTCAGTGTAATTGCCGAAGACGATGTTAATATTATTTGTGCTAGACGAGAGATTGATGTTAGTGGGCGAGAGCGGCGTGCTGCTGCACGAACCGGCTGTACATGCAGTGGCAGTACCGCATTCGCTGTCGCCACCAAGCAAACCAGTGCCGTTGCCGGCAGAGTTCTGATTTAAGTTGGTCTCCTTGCTGGAGTTGCGGCGAAAACAGAGCTCGTAGCCGCGTACACTGTCGCCACCTTCAGAGGAAGCTGCGCCCGTGTTATTGTTGGCGAAATTGTTTTTATATTGAAATTCTAAAGCGTTACTCGGTTGGAATGGATAGTTCTTTGAGTTGTTCAACACATCATTGGATTGCTGATTGCCTTTCGAGAGATATTGATGTATGTCTTCACTGGTAATCTGCAGATCCTGATCGAGGTAGGTGTTACATTGTATATAGTTATTGCAGCAGTTATTATAGGAGTCTGCCTCCTGATGGAAAAGCACAGTTGTTGAGGTCTCCTCAAAATCACATTGTAATGGGCTCTCGCGTCGCTTGCGTGCCGCCGCTGCAGCTGATGTGCTTGGGCGTTCATCGTGCGCGTACTTGCGGCTGCTGCTGCTTGTGTGTTGCATTGTGTATGAGCGATGTTCGCTGCGGTGCTCACCGCGATGCTCACTGCGATGTTCACATTTGGTTGACTTCGGTTCACGTGGGGTGCGTGGTGTGTGCTCTTCTGCGGAAGTCCAAGGATCTTTAGCATCTACTTCACCCACAGCACGTTCGAATTCAGTAGGTGACTTGCCATCGGCCAGGAAACTCCAACGTATTGGAGATGGTGAGCATGCATACTCGGGCAGATCGTTGCTCAAGGCGTCCTTTGAAGTTTGTCGTTCGATAGTGACCTTTGAGGGCGAAACTACAATCTTGCCACCACTACCGCGTTTCTCCAAATCGGCGGCATCGATACCCATCTGTTTGGCACGATCGAAAACGGAAGTTAAAGAACCGGGTTGACTGCTTGGACGACCGGCGTTCAAGCCACGTAATGAGATTGAAGTGTAGCTCGGCTGTCGTTGATGCAAACGTCGTTTGCGTAATGCAACCGATGCAGACTTAATGGAATTGTTACGACTCAGTGATGAACGCGAGCCATACAAGCTAGTCGAGTCCGTTTGATAGCAGTAGTCCGAGGAGGTGCAGCACGATGACGGGCGACGTGTCGAGCCGTAGAGATCTTCTGCAAAGTACTGCGCAAGCTCTGTGCGCGAAGAGTTGCAACACGTCTTGCGCACCAATATCTCTTGAACTTCACGATCCACGCAGGTGGGGTCGTGGCAAGTGTTGAGGGATGTACTAGAAATATCAGTAGCTGAACGATGTCGTCGCGTACAGCTGCCACCATGCGCGTGGCTGTGATGTCGGTTTGAGGAACGTGGCTCGCTATGTTGACTGTGTCCGTGTGCGCCACGTAGGCTCGAATTACCGCTGCCGCCGCCGCCGCCTCCACCTCCGGTGTTTCCATTTCCATTTCCATTCTGCTGCTGATGACCATGACGCGAACGTCTACGCCGATGATTATGCTGATGATGTTGATGATGATGCGAGGAGGTCGATTGTGCATTTGGTGCGGGACGTGGTGGATGCGTAAGGGATGAACGCGTAAGTGAGTCGGCTTCGTGCATATGATGATGCGATTGATGCGGTGATGAGTGCTGGCTGTGCGAGTGATGGCTGTGCGGCGATGTGTGGCGGCTATGGTGTGGGCTGTGGCTGTGCTTGCGTTGTTGCTGCTGGTGGCGATGTGGCGTTGGTGTGGAGGAGGACTGCTGAAGCGGTTCCGCATAAGCAATATGGCTGTGACAGTGCATATATGCTGGCTGATCGCTGTGTTGCGGTTCTTGTTGAAGCTGATGTTGTTGTTGCTGTTGCAATTGTTGCAGGTGCGCTTGCGTGTCGTCACATACAATATCCTTATCATAGCTACAATGTACGTGATGATGTTGCTGTGTCTGCTGCTGCTGATGCTGCTGTTGTTGGTGTTGGTGTTGGCGTGTATTTTTCGCTTGCTGTTGGTTTTGGTGTTGATGTTGGTATTTTTGTTGGTGTTGTTCAGCATTCGTTGAATGTACACTGGCAGTTTCAGGAGGTGAGGCGTTCCTCAGTCAAGGCCCGCTGTTCGGGCAAACAGGTATTTGCTGACGATGGTGATGGGGCGCAGAGGCACCGCTCCGGCCCTGGAGTGTATTTCGGCCGCCTTCTAAACAACGCTCGGATGCAGCTATATGTTGCGCAATAAATAAAATGAAAATACCAATAAACAAGTTATGAAAATATGATGCGACAAGCAATGTAAAGAAGCAACATTTTTTTTTTGTTTTTGTGGAGGTGACGGGTTACGTATTTGTGTTAGTGTTTGTGCGGAGCAGCATAGAGAAGGCCAACTATTTCGAGAAATTCTAAATGCTTCCTCGCCATACTATTGTAATTAGAAATCATCTTAAGGACAATCGACGAAAAATATGACGCTTTGTCACTCATCACCTGGAAGGCAGAGCGAAATGCTTGTGATATTCTCTAGACTCGTTTATTAATTTTTCGTCAATCTTTGAACTACTTTCGGTAAGCATATTATATTCAACGCTCATCATCATCTTCTTCTGTATAATGGCCTAAAGAACCCAGAGGGCTCAAAGCACTTTTTCTGTGGATTTTCATTCGAATTTTATTAGAAGCAAAATCGAAGTTCTCGAAACAGATTTACCCGATCGCCTCTCCCGATGTGTTTTTGTGTAATATAAGCAAGCGTTCTATGTGTTTGAGTGTGTGTGTGTGCCCTCCTTTTTAAAGCTTTCATAATAATAGAGACTCAAAAAGAAAGGAATTCATGCAGTTAACATTCCATGCGGTCTATATATGTGTGTATGTATGTACGAGCAGGTATGCAGGTAATCATTCTGAGAGCTGATCTCATTTCTCCACTCACTAGCGACATGCATGAACTAACATAACTAATAAATATTATGAGCACAAATCGCAATATTTATCGGATTCTCTGATGAAATGTACTGAGTTTCTAAGCGTATGGAATTCTGGTGTTATAAGCCGATTAAAGAAATGAAAACAAATACAATGATACATATATTTATGAGGAAATATTTTTTTACGCTCCCATCTGTTTGAAAGAGAAGAAGAAGAGAGCGTTGATGTCATGATGAGAAAGTTGAAGAATTTATATTTTAGGCTTGTGATGGTGAGAGTTTCGAACTTAAACTACGGACGTGTTTCGAAAAAAACTGTTCAAAGCGTGTTTTATGACATGGGGGTTGAGGATAACGAATACAATTATATATTTATATAACATTTCCTACCTAATAATTAAAAATCGCAATCACTTCGCTCACTCACGTATGGTATATATGTTATTAATCAACCTTTAGGTGACTTGAAAAAGTACCACCGTGGGTAAGCAGTCATAAGGCCCCTGTCTTAACAAGTCAGAGCAGGATATGTGGTTTTTTCGAAAAATCTGTAGGTTCTACCTGCGCTTCTGTTGTTCTGACAGTTTAAAATTGTTCTTTAAATTAAGCTCCTGAGCATACAAAATTATTAAGGCGTACCGAAACGGAGTGGAGTCGAACATTAGTTACGCTCAGCTGATATTTATATCAAGTCTACAGATCTGTCAAAAATAGAAGGCCTGTTATATGGTATGAAAGTCTATTTATTGACTGTCTGCATCAGAATGTTGTACTCTGCCCAAACCAATCGTGAAATAAGCCTCCTCAAAAAAGCATATAAGATCTTATCGAGCATACTTTGTAAAAGATTAATGTCAGCGAACTGAAGGGACTTTATCAGTATACCTTCAGAGCCAGCAAATTTTACTTTTGACAGATGTTCACCCTGCCTAAATCTTGGGAAAAACCTAAGAGAAAATTATCGAGACACCCCACTCCTCCACTAAAAGAACTGTCTCTCCGTCTCTATGTCTGAATTTAGTTTTCCGGCAAACCTAATACTCATGCTGAACAACACCAGAAGCTCCCTCAGGATCGGGAATCAAGATCTGTCATAAGATATTGAATAGAACCATTGGCACTTGATTGAGTTGAGGAGAGAACGAAACGATAGGCTGTACGAGATGTACAACGACATAGTTCAACAAATCAAGAGACGGTTATAGACAATGTGGTTCGTGTGGACGAAAATAGCCCAACTTAGAAAGTTATCAAGTATATATAGGAATCGGAAGAGCCCAGCTTAGAAAGTATTCAAGTTTATATAGGAATCGGAAGAGAAGGAAGACTTCTGTTCCATTGGAAAAATCTAGTGCAGAAAACCTGGCTTCAATTCGTCTCTCTAACTGCCGGAGAATGGCGAAAAGAAGCAACGAACCGGCGTGCTATGGCTTACTCGGTTGGCGTAAGCGGTTTTTACGCCAAAAGAACATAAATAAGAAGGTCATGAGGTCACCATTTTCTCTTTTTTCGAATATGTTTCAACTCCTTACTGGACATGCCCTTGTGAACTGGTAAATATTGGACAATTCAAATTCTGCAGTCGACTGAGTAGGCTACAATGAGTGGAAGTTTGTGAAATAGAATTGATGAGAAATGAGTAGGAAGCCGGTCTTGGTACGAAACCAGTGGAGTTAAGAACATGTATCAGCCGTCTGTGGCACGCAGTGTCCTGGTTTTTCGCGTGGATTGATACCAGATAAGTTGCTGTTTTTAACGGTTCGTCTAAGTAAAACCATCAAAAATCATGAAAAAGATGATAGCTGTTTGAAGAAAAAAATTATTGCTTATACGGGTTGAGAGTGTCGGGCATCAGCGTTAGTCAAATGGTCATTTGAATAATGGCGAAAGTCAGAAAACAGCAGCGTTTCGACGAATCTCAGCAAACTTTGGAATTAGGTGAAGAGGAACTCACATCGATTGTCGAGCGAATTATTTGTGGGAGGTGAAAAAATCTATTACTTTGAACCTAAGTTGAACTAGAAGTCTATGCGTTGGCATAAAAAGGCCTCACTATTTACTAGCAACGCCGACGAAACACATGGCCGACTGCTTTCCTTTTGTAAAAATACTTTCAAATTAGCTAAAGGACCAACAGTCCTGACTTTTGTTCGTCCGTACTGATCACCAGTGAGTTTAATTTATTTTTGACTTAAAGAAAAGGAAAATTAAATTTCAAAGAAAGGGAAAATCGCGAACAAAGTGAACGCTTTCAAAATCCTTCCTTTCTTGCGTCGACACCGGAGAGTGTTCTAGAATAACTTATGGCTTCTTAGAGTTTCGTTGAGTCGGTTACAACAGATCTGTTCTTACCGAAACCATTTTTTTTTAAATTTTTTTTATTGATAAAACAGAAATTAATATCTAAAATTTTTTTCGAGTTCCAATTGATTTTTCTGTTAACTTTTTCAATGGAGAATGTTTAAAGTGCACAGCAAAAAGCATTTTGTGGCAGCAACAGGGGATATTTTACAAACTTTTCAGGGAAATTTTTTACAACAAGGAACTTTTTAAGTATACACTTTTTGTTGCTTTTTTTTAGAAATATTAGCGTAAAATATTTATTTTATGTGACAAATGTGTGTGAGTGTGTGTGTGTGTGCGCGCCTGTGTGCTCGTGTGTGCAAGAGTTCTCTGCAGCTGCTGGTGTCTCATTGGTATAATCATTTCTTTTTTCTCTTCTATTTTTGTTAGTTTTTGCTGTGAGTTTTTGTATTTTTTTTTTATATTTTTTTGTATTTGTAGTGCACTTGACAATTGACTGCAACTGCATGTGAACTCTACCTGACATCCTGCCATGCGCTGAATGTCGCCGAAAATTATCACGATCGTACGTATAATCGTAGTGACATTTACGCACCGGCACTGGTGTGTGTATGTTAGTGCCATAGTTGGTGTAACACGTTGAACTGCCGGCCAGACTCGTTGTCGGACCTAGGAGATTTGTGCTATCGCTTAGCGGATATGGACCCATACCTTCAACCGTTAATGAAAACGAGGTGGTGCCAAACACTTCTTAGTTACATAGATAGTTTATATGTATGTATTTACGTATAGATGTTTCATAAACAGTTCGTTTGTGAACAGAAATTTGAATGTGTGTGTGTTTGTTAATTCATTATTTTTTTCCGAATTTTCCACATATTTTTTAATTTTTTTTTTTTATATTTTGTTTAATACATATATATGTAGCCCATACAAGATTCATTGAGTTCCGATTGATATGGTGAATGGATTATTTTTTGGTTTGATTTTCAATTAGCAAATTTTTATTTTTTTTTTGTTGTAACAATTTGGACCAAATTGAAGCCATTTCGGTTGGTAGTTGTTTCGTCGCAGTTTTTTTTTGTCGTTTAGGATATTTTTTTGAATTTTTTTTGCATTTTTTATGTAAATGTCGTTTAAATATGTGATAGCATGCATTTAAATATTTTACCGTAAATCAAGTAGTAAGTATGCCAAATCGTTTGGAAAAATATGATTAATAATTAGTTTTTTTTATTACAAATTGATGAAAATCTAATAACTTAACAGCATGAGATAATTTGAAACTAATATTTTCCAACTACAAAACACAATACAAGACACAACATACATATTTATATCAATTGCTATTAAATTATATTGGGGAAAAAGAAAAATACTCACACCAAATAAAAAATATTTACATAAAAAAATATGTAAAATATATTGTAACATTAAATAATATTTTTTTCAGAAAAAAATTTACCGAAACCAACCATTAGTTACTTGACTGAGATTTCGATCCCTATAGCATACACCTAAAGTTTGTTAGAGTTCTTTTGACGATTTTTTTTAAGAATTTAAGGAGGATGGTTGTACGGAAGACGTCCTTAAAGGCGTGGCACTTAGTCGACTGCGTCCATATTCAATTCGTGTTCATATCAGACCATGGAAATTATGATCATAAAATCTTAAGGAATTCTGTTCAATGGTTTCTAGGGGGATTTTGGAGTAATGTCTACTCGATATCGTTTTCCGCTCTTAATTTTTTTTTCATTTAATGCGGTCTGATGTCACTTATTGGCCATAACATCCAAACTTGTGACCAAAGTAATGCGTAAACTAGAGTTTTTCATCAAAACATCTCAGCCCATATTTAAGGTATCGTGTACACAGCTGAACGGACGGACGGACGGACGGATAGACAGGCAGACTCACGAACAGTCAAATGTGGCTAAATCGATTCATCTTGTCATTCCATGAATATATATATATATGTATATATATTTAATATATATTCGGAAGTCTCGGGTTCAAATCCTGGTGTCGTACTAACCTCCAAAAAGTTGAAGAAAACTAATTTAAATAAAAAATTAAGCTAAAATTAAATTTAAATTTTTCTAATTGGAATCTCAACCTCTCCGAGAGTATTTCTGACATGAAACAAAAACACCTCATAGAAAACCATCTACCGTTCGCAGACGGCACTCGGCGGAATAAACTGTAGGTCCCTCCATTTGTGGAAAAACATTGAAGATGCAAAACCACAAAATGAAGGAGGAGCTCGGCCGAAAACTCGCTTCAGCGGTTACAAAGCGATTGTCCCTTTTTTTGCCAATAGGAATAATGAATGATTTTTTAATTGATACATAATATACATAATATATATACATATATATCAATAAATCATGCCTTATTTCTATTGGCAAAAAAGAGACAATCGATTTTCACAAGTTTCCCTTGAGGCCAATTCTTCACAAGCCAAAACATTCGTCACAGACCGGCATAGAGGGTAATTACTTGGTACGAGGTCAGAACTACAATATAAAGGGGAAGTGTACGAACTTTGCAACCCAGCTCTCGGAGCTTCTGGCCAGTGACTGTCGTTTTGCGTGGATTGGCGTTGCGCTGATGAAATAAAATTTCTTATATTTTGGCCAAAGCTCAATGGTTCTAGATTCAGACGGTCCAATCGTTGACAGTACAGGTTCAAATTAAGAGTTTGGAAGTAAGGAAACTTCTCACAATATATTAATCCTTTCCAATACCACCAAATACACAGAAAAACATTTTTAACCATCAATCCTGGCCTGGAGACCGTTTGTACCATCTGACTGCCCTGCGACCTTGACCACTGGCATTTAACATTGCTGCAGGTGAGCTACTTTTCATCACCAGAAATGGGTCGATTTTTGCTTCGATTCAACATCGATTCGCAGCTGTAAATACGTTCTATGAGGTGGATTCATGTGGGATCCATACATCAAGCTTCAATGCGTAGCCAGCTTTTTTCAAGTGGTGCCAAACTGTTTCCTGTGCAATGTTAAGCGTCTGGGTAAACGACTCAACGATTTCCATGATTTTATCGAAGCTTTCGGCAATTGGGATTCAACACCGTTGAGCATCTTTTTTATCAAAATTTCCGAAACGAAATCGACGAAAGAAAAATTACACATGAACGACTGTTACAGTATCAGGATTGCTGAAAGGCTGAAGAGACGAACTCTTTCGAAAAGTTTACATCAAAGTGAGTGGGATGTTAAAGTTTAAGGTGGTAAGCGTTGTGCTGAAGGTCTGTGCATATTGGATATACGGCAAAGTCGAGTTTGCATAGGTTGTAATGCAGCAAGATCTCACTTTTGCGAGAATTTCTTGGGGGTTTCAGGGTGCAGTTTGTATACCTAGTCCGGTATAAGATGTAGACGGGTTTCTATAATACTGCCCACAGCAAGAAAATTGAGAAAGATGTTGAATGGTTCACCATGAGCAGCCTTTGAGGTCTCACTATGAGACTTAATTAACAGACTTAATTAACAGACTTAATTAACAGCGGCGCCGCAATCAGCTGGTTTCTCAATAATCTTGAGGAGTGAAAAAGTATCACTACCAGCAACTCCCAGTAACGTCATTGATTCGACATTCAGTTCTAGGACGTACCGACTTCTTCGATTCAGATGTGAAAAAAGATCGTCTAGCAATTTCCCGCTGAAGGTCCAGGCATCTCTCAGTGATGTTGTGAAAAAAATCGCCTCGTACATTGTACAGAATGCTTAAAATTGTCCTTCCATCAGCTTAAAAAATCAAAGAAAGCTCTTTCGAAATGTAGGAGTTGAGAAAACTAGAGCAGAGGGAACATCTTTATGGGTAGCCTTTTGTTTAAATCCTGAGCTCAGAAGTTTGATATATGAATTGCACCGATCGAAATCGCTCATTCATATATTACATGATACACTCCTGGTGCTGGAGCGGAACCTTTAATATGTGCGTAATGGCTGACTATGTCGACAAGTCCAGTGATACTCATACATTTCGCTTGCAGACTCGGTTAGGTACCTTACACTTTATGGAAATCATGTTGGACACCGAATGTGAATGAAAGAAGGGATATACAAAGCTTAGACCTTTGCTAGTATAATCTTCACCATTCGGTTTAAATTCTTAAGCTTCGATTTGGAGTTGTAAAAATCTTTTGTCTGCTTGATTATTTTTACTCACTTACAGCGAGCGAGTTTCGTTTTTTTTTCAAGGTTCAATGATGCATTTATGGTTAAAATCGATTCACATTCGGAATTAATACGACTCTCCTATAGCAGTGGTATAAATAAGCAATATACATTGCATACATTTAGGCCTCTTACACATTGCTATAATATTAGGTTTCCACGAGAACTGCCAAGTGTTAGAGCTTACCAATTCTACAAAGGTTCTTCTATAAATTCTTATAAGAAGCAATTTTTTAATTTTTTAATTGGAACTTCCTTCGAGTTGAGGCAACAAAACTTATCCTGCCGTAATTTTCCTACAAATATATTTATGTATTACCTTAAAGTATATCAATTTATAAAAATTAAAAATTTAACATATTTTCTAAATAAAAACTAAAATTAAAATTTATGAAAATAATAAATATTTATAATAATAGTTATGTAGTAATTTTTTAAGCATTTTATATAAATCAAAAAACTATGCATAAAACAGATGTTGCTTTGACCTTAGTGAATATTGAGTGGACATTCAATAAATTATTTTTATTTTCTTTTTTTTTTTAAAATGAATGATGCAGCTAAATTTATAAATGTTATAATTTATAAGAGTTTTTTTTTTAAAAAAAAAAGTGAGTTAATGAATGTAGTGGATTTATTTGTAAGATATGAATTTGTGTAGGCTTCACACTGTTCACAAAATTGAAATAAAAATAATTGTTTAATAGTAATTTTGTTAGTAATTTAAATAGCACACGAGACACGTTTACATTTTTACAATAACACATTTTATTTTACTTTAGTATAATTAATATATTACTAGGTGTGTAAGTAAAAATTAGAAGTTTTCAAATTAGGTATAGATATATATTTTGGAATATTTTTTTCTTGTTTGATTTTTTTTTTTTTTTGAAATTATTTATTAGTTTGTGATTAATTTGTTAGTTAGTTTGATAAATGTGTACACGAAACACAAAACAACAAACAATATGTTTACGAAAAACTAAAATACAAAATTGAGAATTTTTTGTATTGAATTAGAAAAATTGATTGTTTCATTCTTACGTGAGTCATGTTGGGTCTTTTCCTCAGATACCATCAATGCGGCATGTTCGATGCCAGAATTCATACTTTGTGGCTCCAAGCTATTTGTGCAGTTTAGCATACTCCTGAAATTCGCACACTCTACGATTATGTTTTAAGTGTATAGGATTTTCTTTTAAATTTTGTAAAAAATTTTCAATTGTAATTGCTTTGTATTCTGTATTCTGTATTTTGTATTTTGTGTTTACTGTTATTTGGTTTTCTTCTACTGTTATTATTTTCTAGTGTTTTTAATAGTTTTCGCTGGTGTGGTTTATTTTTGAAGAAAATGACGAATCTAGTACTGTTTTCGATGTGAATATTGTGTGTACCTTGAATACTTTTAATTTGCTCTTAAGAGTTCTCTTTTCATTTCTTTACCGTAAGCCAATAAGCTACATTTGTGAAAAGTATAACTTTAAAAATAAAAAAACTTCAAAAAATTATTTTCAATTAGAAATTCGGATAAATTTGCATGGACTAGCAGAAAAGTGATTTCTTAAATAAATTTTATTTCCAATTTTAATTTAAATTTTTAAATTTAATATAATTTTAATTATAATTATATATTTAATTTTTAATTTAATACTAATTTTATTTTAATTTTAATTTTAAATATTCAATTTAAAACTAATTTTAATTTTAATTTTAATTTTAATTTTAATTTTAATTTTAATTTTAATTTTAATTTTAATTTTAATTTTAATTTTAATTTTAATTTTAATTTTAATTTTAATTTTAATTTTAATTTTAATTTTAATTTTAATTTTAATTTTAATTTTAATTTTAATTTAAATTTAAATTTAAATTTAAATTTAAATTTAAATTTAAATTTAAATTTAAATTTAAATTTTAATTTTAATTTTAATTTTAATTTTATTTTTAATTTTATTTTTAATTTTAATTTTAATTTAAAAACTAAAATTTCATTAAATACTAAATTTGGTTAATTTTGCATTTGTAGTTATAATTTTATTTTGTTATTAATTAAATAAAAGAAAATAAATAAAATATTTAAAACAAACTTTATTTCAATTCTTTTCTCGAGACTTATAATAATTTAAAAATAATTTAATTTTTACAAAAAATCTTAATATTTTTATTCAGAAATGTACAAGAGAAAATATTGTATATTTAAATGAAAATTTTGTTTGGAAAATAATTAACAAATATTTATTGAACTTAATATTGCTTTTGAGCTGCTCACTGTTCTTTACGTTCATTGCCGCCACTTCGACTTTGTATTTCAATATCGGTGGTGGACTCGCTTTGTCCGTGCGTGGAAGCGGTATCGCTGCGGGAGAAGTGTGTGTGTGAATTTAACAAAAATTGGTTAACCAAATTGAAAAAAAATATTATATAAATGTAAAAATAAGTTTTCAATTTAAATGAAATAAACAAAAGTAATTAAAAAGTGTGAATGAGGTTTAAAAGAATTTACATACTAGACACAAGTGATTTTTTTTTAGTGAACTAATGACGGCTGCATGTCAAATAATATATTTTTTTGTATTTGTGTAGGCGTAAGATTACGAACTATATAGAAAATGAATGAGTGTGCATGAGGAAACAACAAGTGAATGAGCAGAATTTTGCATTTTTTTTTTTCTTGATTTCTTATTAGCTTCTCTCTGTAATGAAGGAACGGGGCTAGATGACTGACAATTTAGAATTTCGAATATATATAGAGTATAAATGTATGTTGAAACATGTATGTATATATACATTAATGAACGATTCATAAATTTTTTCTTATTACTGATGATTGATTTTGTTTTATTTCTGTTGATTTTGATTCAAAGTTGAGAGTGACATGAAAACAAACATTCAAAGCATTCAAAATCGTTCAAAAAGTTTAAGAGGAGTTAATATATAAATATATTTGTATATTTATGTTAAATATTGAGAACAAAAAGAAATGGAACAAAGTTAAAATATATCACTTGGCTAAAGCATTTCGCGGTTTATTATTTCGTTCTAAAACACAAACTACAATAATAACAGTGTAGAAAGTAAGTACATAAAGGCATGGCATGGCCAGTTAAAGAGAATTGAGGAATAAGAAAAATAGTAAACAGAAAACTAAACTGTAGCTAAGATGTACTCAGACTATTTTGTATATATATTTTTTTTTTTTGAAATTATTCTTATGTTGTTTTATTTGTTCGCAAAGCGTTAGTTTAATGTTTTTTAACATAAAAATGTTTTCAAACTTTTATGTTTTGATTAAATTGCTTAAAGTCTTTTGGTTTTGTTTGTTTCTCTTTTTTCTTCTTTCAGAACAAAAGTTTGTGTTTATTTTTGCTGTTGTTATTTATCATGCAACTTACCCATACAGTCTACTATCTCGGAATGTCCTTCTGTGTGTTAACGTACGTTATTTTATTTTTAGATATTTTTGTTTTAAATTTTCATTTTTTTTTTATTTTTTTAAGTTTATATTTAAATTTGTTTTTGTTTGGTTGTTAAATAAAAATTTAAAAGAATCGAAATTAATAAGGTATCATAAATTGTATTTATTTTTTTGTGACAAAATGACAAGCAAAATGCATTTAGTGGTAAAAAAATATTTGCTCTCAAATAATTTTAAATAACGTAAATGTGAAACACAGAAAGCTAAAATTTATAAATAAAATTAAAAATTAATAATATAGGCTTAAAAAACAATTTGGTGCGAATGTTAGCTAAACGATACGTCGTGAGCGATAAGTGCATTAATTTATATACGCAGAGAAGCTTTCGCCTTGAACCTATTCGTAGTATTTTGAGTCTATATCTCCTCCACCCCTTCTATCCTTAGCTTTTCTAGAAAGAATGATTATAGAAGGAAGTTTAAGCCACAACGAGCTGCTTGCTAAACATTTGAGTTAAATAATCTTAAGGTAAAAACTGCTCGTAGAAAATTGAAGCCAGCGGCCTGGAGGCGTAGCTAACTGTAACGTTTGCTTCGTAGATGGTCCGCATATGGTGGCTACGATTGAGCTTAACATGATGATGGGTGAATTTTTTGTTGTGTAAGAAGTCGTCCATAATGTTAATACTGATCCATCTGGCCGATGTATCCAAATATGTGGTGATTAAGTGGACAATCCACAGGTTACTCAATTCAAATATGTCGATGAGGTAGCCATCACCCAGATGAACTACGTACGTCCCAAGCATTGCATTGCGATACTTTCTATTAAGGCTCCTGTTTAAAGTACACATCTTTTTTATTCACACATTAAAGTCGAATTTCGGCTCTTTTCTTCATAGTTGATTAGAGGTCCTGCAGCTCTTTTTCACCCGATCACATCAACCGTTCTCTCTTTCTGGCAATCATCGTGCACACGTAATTTATTCATGCCCCACTGTCTCTGCACATTCTGTGTGTTATCAACACATGTTGTCTTCTACCAGACCTATGTTTAAGCGTGGGAAACGCCAATAAATTATACCTGTTGGTAGGCAAGACTACGCATCCCATAACACACGATCTAGAAGTAGATCTAGATTATGTACGACCATAACTCTTATGTCGTTCCAGGCATAGTTAAATTCTGTAGAAATGAAGTAAATTGGATTATATGCTCTCAAGATTAGAATTCAATAGTTGCTTTCAGGAGAGGTTATACCCTATATGCTAATACAGAATCAGCGGTTCTAATGTACGGGCTGATAGGTCTTGCCCAATGGAATAACAGGTCATAAAAAAGGTATTTGGTAAGTAAGTATGGAGAGAACTCCACTTACAATTTGTACAGAAAGAAGGGAATACATATTTAACTGTAAGGTAAGGATACAGTTTGGCCCATGTATTATAAAAAAGCAAGGAAAGCTCGATTAATAATGGGTCATTGGAGAACATCTCCAAAATGGCATTGCCTTTTATAGCCTCCACCAATATCGCTGATTTTAAAGCAATATGTAAATGGTTTTTCATTTTCTCTGTGACTACCAGGCTGGAAATGAGGGCTATGAGCGTAATCAAAGGGCTTTCTTTAAAAAAAAAAAAGTGAAAAGTTCGAAAATGAGAGTATGGAAAGACCTTCTTGGTGATGAAAATAGTTTGTGGACTATTGATTGCGCTTATGAGGTCTATAGAAAGCCATTCTGAGCATTCTTAAGAATAATAAACCTTTCGCAGGTCTAGTAACCTATATTTAATATATATAATTAACAAGTTTTGGGGGAAAAAATTATGCAAACTTCCTTTGTATTTGCGTGAGTTAAGGTTAATTAAAATTTTTAGAAATATCTGAAACCATTTTAGGGAAGCTAATATGGTGAAAGCTCGTTAATATTTCTCTAAGAATATAATAGTTTTAGATTATTTGTCATTAAAATATTTATGCATATTTTTTATATAAAAAACGAAGTGGATTTATTTCCTTGAAAGTGTCACCCCCAACACATTTTCTCAGATTTCAAGTAACAAAGATTTTTATGCTGCATCGAAACTTGAATTTTAAGGAGTTTCGTTTGTGATTTTAATGCTTCTCTTGCGTATACAAATTATTTGCACTTATGTGTAATATTTACCATTTTATATAAATTATTTAAAATAATTTAACCGATGTACATATATTTTAATTAATTTTCATTGCAATCAATTTTTTCGAATATTTCAATGAAATGAGAACCTCTTACACTTTAATAATATTTCTTTAGTTAAACTCTTAATCCCTGTTAAGAAATAAGGTATCTGTGATATGGAGTTAGTAGTAGATAATCTTTTTTTTTTGTTTTTCAATTTGGCTGTTATGATATGAGCATTAGTGTATGTCTTTTTTTCTGAGCAATTTCCAATTATAATATGTTAGAATTCTTTAATTCTTTGTAAATATTTTAGTTAAATTAATTCATGAGTATATATTTGTATACCTTCCATTGCCGTGACGGAATAACGCGCATATCTCTTCGAAGGTCTTATTCTTAGTCTCAGGAACCTTCTTATAGGTGAATATCCAAAATATAGCTAAGAAAACGCTAAATGGCAAGAATGTATAATTCTCCAATTCGGCCTGTATTTTGAGGAAATATAAAGAGAATATATGTAAATGCATATTTGTGCAATATATATATATATATTTTTTTTTTTCACCCTACCTTCATACTGGGGAAACCAATGCCAACCACAAAGTTCGCCATCCAATTGACTAGTACAGCTATAGCCATCGCGCTGGGTCTAGGGCCTTGTGAGAATAATTCCGCCGTTATCATCCATGGTATGGAGCCGGGTCCGACGGCAAAGAAGACTACAAAGCCGAGCGTTGACACCACGGAGAGATATGACATCCAATCGATCATTTCCTGTACATAACCAAAAAACTCCTATACAAAACGTGTAGTTACCGATTCTCGATGATTTGTAGGCTTTTTCTTTGTTTTTTGTTTGCATTTTTTTTTGCGTTTCAGCGTTTTTTTAGTAATGTTTAATTTTTTTTTTCTTGACAAATCAAAGAGAAATTAATTTATGATAAAAATAATTTGAGAATAATAAAATAAAATTAATTGAAAAAATTGCCTAAATTTGTACTTAAAATAAAATAAATTAAATAAATAGTCAACTAACTTATGGCATACAAATGGCATTGTTAACGGTACTTCTGCAGTTCTGTGAAAAACCCTTTATATATATTTAAAAACGGACCTACATATATTTCAACTGTAGCTTCTTAAGAAAGCTCAATTAAGTTTAATGCAGTTAACTTCTAACCAGAGGGTTCTTGAAAATTTTCCACTTTAATTAAGAACAAATCTGCTATAAATTTTACTTTTTACAGCTGAAAGGTTTAAAAGATTTGTTTACTAACTGAATTTATTTTTAAATAATTTAATTTTTTTTATGATTTTTAATGACGTGTGTGTGTGTGTGTTATTTGCTGCACGATAAGCAACAGCTGCATGTGACTTTTAACAAAGTGTTTTTGTTTTTATTTTTGCAAAAATTTAAATATGAACATTTAAATTATTTTGTGTTTATATTTGCTTCAGTTTTGTTGCAGAGAATTTCGACATTTACAAAATAACGCGCGTTTGCACTTTACACTCTATAATACATACATACAACAGTGTTTATGTATATACAAATATATATATTTTTCAGTGTGGCTTATTTTTGTTAGGTGGCGGCGTTTAGCTTTTGTGTATATATAAACTGCTGCACATTATATATATATTTATTTTTGTTTTTTTTTTTTGATAATTTAATAAAGTGTAAAAACCATTTTTTTAATGTTTTTTTTTAATGTTGAATAGTGCTTTCATAATTGCTTTTGCTCTGGCGTGAGTTCGTGTCTTAAGTCTTGGGTTTTCCGTTTGCAGGAACGCTTGGAAATCAGGTGCGAAATTATAAATTGAACATAAACAATAAGTAGCTATGTTAGTTTGGGTTTTTAAACAGACTTAGTTTCATTTTTTTTTCTAACCCAACTATTTTAGCTTTGAAATAAATTAATTAAATGAAAACATGGTATAAAAGCATCTGAAAAGCTCAAATAATTGTGAAGGGAAATTATGTTGAAAAAAAAATTAATTATTTAGTGTGTGTGTGTTTGTGCTTTGCTCGCAGAGGGTAAAAAGCCTGCCAAGTCGAGAATTTTTTCATTTTGCAGGGGAGAGACATTTGAATAAATGAGTTTCGTTTTGGGCTAACAGTTGATTTTACAGCTTGTTTATAATTACATTAATTTTATAAACTTGTATTTCAGAAAACTTATAATTTTTTATTTTTTTTTTAGTTAAACTTGAATTTAAATTTAAAAATAATATTTTTTTTTTAGTTTATAGTTGTTATTAAACTTGGAATTTATTTAAAATTTTGAATTAATAATTTAACGTAACCAAATATTTTTTTTTAATTACGGAAACTTAAAATTATTTATTTATTATTATTATTAAAATAATTTTTAACAACATAAAAATTAATTAAATTCAAAAATTATTATTTAAATTCAGTTTGAATATTTTAAAGGCTAACTAAAAATACCTTTTTGTAAAATTTGTGTAGAATTGGAACTTCAATTTTTATTAATAATTTAGTTAAAGCATTTTTTTTTGTTTAATCTTAATTTTGTATTAGCCGTGTAATGAATTTAAAATTTCAATTTTTATTTAATAATTTCAATTGTTATTAATTTATTTTAACAATTTTAAAATATCTATTACAGCTTTAGTTACTTGTTTTGATATTCACTTTGTTTAACGTAGCTCAATTATTTTTTAATTTAATAAACCAATTTTAATGTAAAATGAACACCAATATTTTATTATGAATTATTTTTATATTTTTCTTCACCTTCAAAATACTTTAAAATTTAAAGACAATTAACTTAATCTAAACGAAATAATTTTAATTTGATTATTTATCACTTTTTTTAACTTAATTTAGTTTTATTTTACTAAGTTCGCTTTTATATTTTATTTATTAATTTTTTTTTTCAAATAAACGTTAACAATAGAGACTTTATATTTCTTATATATCATGAAATTAATCCGAAAGGTGTTAAGTACATTATTTAATTTAATTTATATTAAATTTTAATAATTCTGATTACGTTTTTTACATGAGAAAATCAGTTTTATCTCATTTAAAATTTTTTTGAAATTTAAACAAATTTAATTTGATTTCATATATTAAAACTTTATTTTCTTTGGTTTATTTATTATAATTTAATTCAATTTTCTTAAATTTGCTTAACTTTGGTCGAGTCAAGTCAAGTTTAACTTAATTTTCTATAGATTCTAATTTAATTAAACTGTAATTAATTGAAATTTTTTAATAATTATTAATATTTTATTTTAGATAAATTTTGAAACTTCAACGTAGTATTATTGTCTGTTCATGTAATTTATTTAAATTAATTATTATTAGACTTTGTTTAGTTAATTTAGTAAAATTTAATTAATTCCTCTAAATTTAATTTAATTTAATTCTTTTCAATTAAAATAAATTTTATAGAACTTATTTTAATTAAATTGAATTAAATTTTTTTTAGGTTTATCTTACTTTTTTTATCTCTAATTAATTTAAATTTTTACAAATTTATTTAATTTACCTTTATGTTATTTTAATTAACTTAATTCAAACTGGATTTTATTATGTTTACTCTAATTCTTTTAGTTTAACTTAATTTCAGCTGAGTTTTTACAACCGATAAATTATAATTTTTTTACTTTATTTAATTTATTAGAATTTAAGAGAATCTTTTCTACTTTATTTCATTATATTTTATTTTAATTTTGTTTGCATTTAATATAATTTATTTTCATTAAAGTTAGCCTATATTGAGAACAATATAATATAAGATATTTTTTTTTATTGCAGATAATTTTTTATTAATTTTAATAACCGTGAAATTAATAAGCAATTCGAAAGTAGTTAATTAATTAAAATATATTTTATTACAAGTTTATTACATTTTTTTTTTATTATTTTGCATTCAAATTTAATGTAGAATAATTTTTTTTTGTCGCTGCTAAAACTCATTTATTCAAATACACTTAACCTAAAAATATATAAAATTTATCTGAACTAATCAAACAACACTGAAGCATGCAAGCAAAAATTTATTTAAAACAAAAGTGATTATATAAAAAACCTTAACAGTATTTAATAAGGCAAGCTTTCAAAAAAAAAGAAATAAAATACAAATCAGTAATAAAAAAAATATTTCTTACGTGATGACTTAAAAAGTGAACTGGAAATATATATTTATTTATTACATAAGTAATTTTCTAACTAATTTATTATTAAGAAATAATTAAAATTAAATAGAAATCGCAAAGCGTGCACATGCCATTTTAATGAGATATTTTTTAATTTCCTTTAGTTTAATTTAATTTAATTTTTTTTTCTATTAATTTTACACCGTTTCATGCCACAAAATGTTTTTGATACCAGTACTATCTTGACAACCTAATATGCTATAGAATTTTATTTAATAATTTCTTACAAAATATCTACTTATTTAATTTATTATTCAACATTCCTTACGGTCATGCAGTAATTTAAGTCGAATATAAAAATTTCATTTTTTTTCAAATCAATTAATAAATTTTTAAAATATACCATAAAATTTATAAATTAAAAATAAAATAATAATAATAACGAAAACTATTGAAATTATAATACATATACTAGTGTAAACGAGCATAATATATTTAGTAGTTAAAATATTTACCACAATTTACGAACAAGTTGCCATAATGCACATTTCGAAAATATTTGAATTTCATACTTGCCTTTCTGCGCTATAAAGTGGCCAAACATACGTTTTTCACGACGAATGTTGGCATTTTTTATTTGTTTACTTGCCTTAATCAAAAATGAAATCGTTATGAATATCGAGAATATGAACATGCCACCTAAACCGTATAGATGTAGTGTTCGACGTCCAGTACGATCCATCAAAGGTATTGAGACGAGTGTCATTAGTACCTAATTGCATTGAAAAAATACAAATAATTAAGTATATATATATATTATATATATTTAAAGTAATTGAAATTATTTTTAAATATAATAATAATAATGAATTGCAAACCATTATGGCACCAATGCCTATCGTTGAGAATTTGGCGCTCTCCTCCGTCAGGCCGGAACTCATGAATAACGATGTCGAATAGTAGAGTACTGCATTAATACCGCTAAACTGTTGACTCAATTGCATAACAATGCCAATGATCAATGGCGGCCGCAGTGTTGGCGAGCAAATTAACTCCATTGTGGAGATGTGACTTTCCGATTGTTGTGCACGTTCTTCGGCGCGCATCTCTTCGATGTCTTCCTCTACCGAACTTGAGGCACGTAGTCGTCGCAATGCTGTATGGAAGGTAATAATGGTTTAATGGAGTTTCATTTGTATTTTATATGATAATTTAGAATAACTATAAACTAAAAAAAAAAAAAACGTTACCTACGGTATTTACGGCCATCATGGTATTTACTCATGTAATTATGGCTCACACGACTCTTTATCTCTCAAAAATTTATATTTGATAAATAACAATTAGACCGAAACCAGTCAGAGAGCTTTCGTAAAGCCGTAACCACCGATGATAAAGCCATTTCGCTTTTTGGATAGCCTCTCAGTGAACATTTTTGTCCATAATGACATGACACAATACATAAGAGTGTCCTTTCAAAAAGCTCTGCACAAGCTTGCAAATAATTTTGAAAGATACAATTAGCAACACGATGGGCGATTTTATCCAATTGGGAGAAAAACGTAGGCAAAGGAACAAGGTACTCCTCGAACGAAAAAAGGTATAAAGTCTCTAAATTGAGACCTCCGAGACTGAGCGTAATTCTGCATAGTAAGCTGCTGAGGAAAATTTGCAATAGAAGTCAATATCGTTGGGCCGACAATAGTAAAGCCAATCTTCCTCCAATGATAACCTTATGTGGTAGACCGCGGGTAATAAAGCCATATACCGAAATCCATTGAAAAAGATATAGAAAGTCATTGAACTCTATATAATAAAAGCGCTTAGAACTACTGAAATGCAGAACTCGAAAGGTTACTCGACTTAATGGCAAACGACATTGCGTTGGACTTTGGGGAAAAAATAATCCAATAATCACGAGGAGAGTAGAGAGCATAGCCTACTTACTCTTGTGCCTTAATTCGAAAATGCGGTTGCAGACTACTTTCGAAGATACATTTTTTTTGGTAGAAGCAAAGAAGCTTTCAGTTATGGCTGCTGCAGTGAGGAAACTACATATATACATACTGAGTTAAGGCTCCAAGAGCACCTGTGGGAGCAGGATAGAAACAAAATTTTTAAAAATTCTACACAAGTGGCTGACCCTAATTAGGGTGGTATGGAAAGGCTTCGCGTTAAAAGTTTGTCGTTGACAATTTTTCGATTTATTGACTCAGTACGTTGTCAGCGCTCGTCAAATATGGACACCAGTAAAGAGAAAATTCCCTATATTTTACTATTTTTCTTCGATCAAGGCGAAAAAGCAGCCAAAAAATTAATTTAGTGGTTTTCCAGGCGGCACTCTTCCAGAAGAGGCCATCTTTGATCAACAGAGGCCCGATTGTGTGTTCAGTCAGGACAACGCCAGGCCATACACGTCCTTGGTTACGCGCCAGAAGCTCCAGGAGCTCGGATGGGAGCTCCTAATACACCCACCTTATAGTCCGGACAAGACACCAAGTGACTACCATTTTTTTCTGTCCATGGCGAACGCGCATAATGGTGAGAAGTTGAGAGAGGGGTATAATGACGTTGCATCTCGTTGGCAACAAGTTTACGAATAAAACGGCGCATATTTGACTTAAATCGGACAAATGTACACAAAGTTATCATATTTTGAAAAATCAATAAAAAACCGAACAAACTTTTTACTCGGCCTAATATATAAAGGCAGCGAAGTACGATGTAGTCAGTTACGCTTGTACGCCACAACCTACTTGTGTCACGTAGGTGTAAAAATTAATTTCATATATTTTTCGATGTTGGTTTGACTAGGGCTCAGCTAATTCGGCAGCCTGTGATGCATGCAGGAAATATAGAATGGCAAGCACGAGCCGGATGCTGGAGCACCTTTTCTGTTTCTGACCGGCTTTGTAAAGAATGCAACTCAGACATCTTTGCACTTCAGACAAGTAAAAGATGTTTCAAGCTGGTCAGAGCACTTCTAAGCTTCACTAAAAGCATTGATGACTACTACATGTCGAATACTCTGTTAGTCGTCATAGAAAAGTTCAAACTAGACTGAATTTTCATATGACAGCGTGGTAAGCTGCCAGTGTCAACTGTCACTTCGTTATATTTATATGTTACAGTTATTTTTTTTTATTGTACCAACTAAAATACTTACCGCTTCGGGCTTCCTCTTCCCATTGTTTCGTTATTAACAAATATCTGGGCGATTCCGGGCATACCGGCAGTAACATTAATTGCAATATTGCTGGACATATGGCTAGACCAAGTAAAACTGGCCAACCATCATTAGTTCCTAAAATTTGTTCGATTCCCAACACTTGGGATAGTAGTAAACCTATTGTCACAGCCAATTGATTTACAGTACCTAATCCACCGCGTAAGTTCAGTGGCGCTATTTCGGAGATGTACATTGGCACCAATGATGTATTAAGACCTGCATGAGAGAGAGAGAGAGAGAATGAGAGAGAGTGAGCGTAAGCGTGAGCGTGAGAGACAAATTAATTAAAGTAATGTAGTTAAATAAAATTATATATGTACATATGTATGTTTGCATAGAAGTTTTCTTTTTTAGTTGAACTTACCGCAATTAACACCAATAATAAATCGGCCAAGGAATAACATTTCATAGGAATGACTAACTTTGGTAAAACCCATTAGACAAGCACCCGATATACCAAGCACATTATTTAATAATAAACCGCCTTTTCTGTAAGATAAAAAAGAAAAAAATAAATAAATAAAAATAGGAAAAAATCAATGAATTAAAGTGCACAAATATGAGGTAAAATTGATGTTTTTTTTATTATTTTTTTATAATAACGAGTTTTATTATATTTTTTTGAAATTTTTTTTAAATTTAAATTTAAATTTTCAATTTACTACTTACGCGCTTTTTAACTAAACCGAATGTAGTACATTCAAAACTCACCTGCCAAAACGATTGGCCATCCAACCGCCACTGAAACCGCCCAACATACCGCCAATGGCGAATATCGACACCGCCACCGAGTACAGTTGTTGTATGAACTCCTCACTAATATCCTCACCATAGCGATCCTTGTATACATCCTTCATGAAATTCTCAATATTCTTTTCGGGCGCATTTATCACACCGGTGTTATAACCGAATTGTAACATACCCAGCACCGCTGAGAATATCGAGTATGTTAGGAAGAAGGTAAGACCCTGCAAAGGTTCGAGAGAGAGAGAGAATGGACAACGTAAATGCGTTATTAAATTTTGTGTTTTTTTTTTCAATTAAGTCATGGCAATGTGCGCAGTGGAATATACAAAAATATTTGAGTGCATAAATAAAATATTAAGAATGAAATTAGGCGAACAAAAAAAAAAAATATTCTCAAAACGAACTCTTTACCAATGAGTTTTTGGGGGGTCGTTGGTCAATATGACGAAGCTTCTCGATTTAGATATTAATATTTTTCAAAATATATGTGTGCAGCATACAAAATTTCACGCTCTAAAATGCTTCTTAGTCGACTCTTTTTGGGCGACCCAAAACCTCATATCTGAATAAATCGATGGTAAGGAGACTGAATGAAATAGTCCACAGTTTTTGACTATTGTCAGCGCGTTTCTAATGCGATAACCAATCCTATTCTGACAGACAGGCTGCCAGTAGTCTCTCCAATGTAATCATACCACCCAAAAGATGGCAAACGAATGCAGTGAGATCTTAAATAAACTTTCGACTGTGGACGCAGCGTCCGTGATTTGGGTCCCTCGTTACATGGGCATCCCAGGATACTGAGTAACCGACGAACTAGCTAAAAAGGGAGCAGTGATAACCACCGCAACCATCCTTCACGCGTAGGGCCAACAGCGGATAGCAGAATAAAACTAAGTGTAATGTGAGAAGAGTAATCTGGCTACTGATCGAAATAAAGAGAATTAAGTTTTTACACCTACAAAAATTAACCTCCGTAAGTATAAAAACCGGCGCAATAATCGCACACTGTCTTATGCCGACTCATAGTAGGAGTATAGACTGCTTTTAAAACGGCTTCTGCAGTAGCTGTAAGGACATATGCAGAAGAGAAGGAGTTGGTGGAGTACCACTTTTGTTCCTGTCCAGCTAACAGTGCGGTGTGTTACCATTTTCTCGGTAATTTCTTCATCGATTGCCTTGCATGGAAGGCACAGGCAGACATAATTAATCTCTTGAATTCCATAAGACACACAAAGTGGTATGAGTATATGGAAAGGTGAAAGGAGATACCTCTCTTTAACAAAACCAACATAGGCCTAATTACGCTTGATCAGTGTTCTGTGAATTACAAATTTGTAATATATTTTGAAATAATTTTTTCTCAACCTCTTGCCATAGGTTCGTAACGAAATCTTTGAAATTTTAATAAAATATATTTTTCATTGGAAAGTTCTAATTAAGAAGAAATCTATTTTACGACGAAATTTCCACATTCGATTTAAAACAGATTTTTTGTATTGATAAATCTTTTGGTGTTCTAAAAACGATTTCTAGTTTATCAAGATTACTTAGGTATAAATAGAAATTTCAAAAAAAAAAAAAAAAAAAATAAAAAAAAAAAAAAAAAAAAAAAATGAAAAAAAACTAAAATAAGAAAGATATATCCAAAGAAAATAAAAATGCAAATTAATTTCACAAAATCAAATATTTATTTATAAGTACAACATGATTTTTAAAATTTCACAAACTTAAAAATATTGGTAAGAAAAAATAATTATAAACAACTAAATCAGGATTATGAAGAAGCGGTCTGTATTGGTAAATGCCATTATGCGTTAAGTTTTCTCTTCAATACTCTGATAAGTACTAAGTAATAAGCAAATGTTTATTCGTAATGCTGCAACCGATTTGTGTGCGAATAATATTTTGTGTTTTTTTTTGTAGTTTTGGAAAATTTTGAATTTGGTTAGTTTTTGTTTTCGCATAATGAGATTTTACATTTTGTTGTACATGAATATAAATGAAATTCAAGTATTAATTACACAACATGGCAAATAATTTAAGCTACAAACTTGTTCTAAAAGTCTTAGCTTCCGTCTGTGTGTGTGCTCCTCCAGTCTGTCGACGTATTCGCGCAGCTCTTCGATTTCCTCTTTCACTTGTTGTACGGTGTCCAGTTCATGTTTAATCGCAACCATGTCACGTTTTACCTAAATTTTTTTTAGAAAGAATAATGTATTAATGAATTTTTGACTATGATTTTAGTAATTATTGTGTATATATTTAATAAATATTAACATTTTTTTAGGTTTTATATTTTATATTTTGTATTATATATTTTATATTTTATATTTTATATTTTATATTTTATATTTTATATTTTATATTTTATATTTTATATTTTATATTTTATATTTTATNTTATTTTATTTTATTTTATTTTATTTTATTTTAATTTATTTTAGTTTATTTAATTTTATATTATTTTATTTTATATCATTATATTTTATTTTCTTTTGTCTGATTTTATTTCATTATATTTTAATGTATTTTATATCATTTTTCTTTATTAATTCACTTATTAATTATATAATATTAATTTTTTTAATAATATTTTTTTTAATATGATTTTATTTATTTTATTTTATTCTTTATTTCAAACGTCTGCTAATAAATTCATATACAAGTGTGTTGTTTATAGCAACAATTACCAAACACACACTTACCTCAGACACCTCACTTTGACAGCTCTCCACAGATTTGGTCAGCTCCTGCAGCTGTGTACGAATTTCACACAAGGCGACTGTCGTCTCCAAGTGTCGATCGCCTCTTTGAAGCTCATCCAGTTTGGCTGATAAATTCATGCTCATCACGCTAACTTGCTTTTGCAAACTGTGCACAAATCACGTGTATATACATGGATATGTAAATAGACAAATGACATGAATGTCACGCGACGTTGCAACGCAATGTGGCATGGAGTGGCGACAATTGGATGACCGGCCATTCAAATGCAATTAAATGTTATTAATTTGATTGACGATGATATTTAAATGCAAATGCAGTTGGTGTAACGTGTGGTGTATTGTTGTTGTTGTTGGCGATGTTATTAACAAATGTGACAGTTGGTTATATCATTAAATAACAGTTTGAGTTGAGTGTTGCACACACACATATAACACACACGCGCATCGAGAGAGATGGCGAGAATGCATTTGTATGCGTGTGTATGTGTTAATATTTCGTTGTGTGCATTGTTATTTGATAATTTGCAACGTATTGTTGGTGTTGCACGAATAACAACGAAATTCCGGCACACAGATTGTCACGGAAATGCACGAAAATCACAGCGTGACATAACAAAATTTGTATTTTACGTTCGTTAGCGCATTGTAGCAAGTTCAGATTGCACATTTCAAATTCCATATTCCAAGTTGCAAATTGTAAGTTGCAGAAGGTGCGCGGCAAAAGAGTAGAAAATTGTATACACTCATTATATAAGTACAGTTAAGTGAGCAAGAGTTGGTTAGCTAAGAATGCGAAAGGTATTTGGTTATATGTATTTTTTTACTTTAATTATGAGTAGTAAAAGGCGAAAATGCAATATATTTATATACAGTTGTAGGTTATGTAAATATGTATTTATAAAAGTTTGAATATATAATTATTTACAATTTTTATGGAAACTGGCAAAAAAAAGGATGAAGAAATTAATGCATATTTAAGTATAAGTTCTGGTATAAGTTCTATTATATTAGGGTGGGCCACTTTCTTATAAAAAACACTTAATTTTTGGAATGAATTCAAAATGAAAAAGTACAAAGCAACAGAATGATCTTTGTCAGATTATTCCTTATTTACAATTTTTTATTTGTTTTTAAACTATTACTATTTTTACAATACAGTTTTAAAGATTATTTTTTAAACGCCTCTTCAAAACTCATTTGTTAGAAAGATCTTTCGTCTTATTTGTTTTAAAATACTTTAACAAGAAACAAAGCAAATAAATAAAAATAAAATCAAATAATCTAAAACATTACGACTCACCCTAATATGTATTATAGCATATGGCATGATATAATTTATGCAAAAAGTTAAATGAGCTAACGCTTATATTAACAGAAAATGAAATATATTTTAGTATATGTACGAAAATGTAGAATATTAGGGTGGGCCGCTTTATAATAAATCATATATACCCAACTTACATTTGAAACGAATTAAAAGTGAAGAGTTACAAAATAGCTCATTTTGTAGTTTATTTAATTAGTTATTTTTAGAATATTTATCATCATAAAACAAATTTATTTTATTTTATTTATATTTATATTGTTTTTTGCGTTTTTATGGTAAAGATGCCACGGTCTTTTTAAATTTTTTTGCTAATATTGTTTCCAATTTTGTTAATTTAAATAAATACTGAACAGAAATTGTATGCCACCCTTATGAGTATTTAAGTTTTTACTGGCATGATAATATTTATAAAAAAATAAAGGGTCAGCAAAATTATGTGGAAACTCACAAAAAAGAAAATCTCTAATATTAGGGTGGGTCGCTTCGTTTCAGAGAACATGTAGTGGACTTTCAGTTTAGACGAATTTTAAGTAGAGAGCTAGAAAACAGCATATTTTTCTTTAATGTATTTATTTATTTCTTTTTTTTCCAATTAAATTTTAATGTTTTTTTTTTGCTTTTCTTAAGGTCAAAGATACCAAGATCTCTTTAAAACTTATTTCTATAAATTTACTTTTCATTTTATTTGTAACACATTGTCATAATCCAATTACCAAAAAAAAAAAAAAACTAAAAGTAAAAATTCAAAAAGAATATAAAAACTGGCACACCCTAATGTTTGCTTAATTATGTATTTGCATGATATATTTTACGTAAAGAAAAATGTGTAGTGAGACAACAAATGCTTCATTTATGATTTTTTGCATAAAAAGCATGTCTTTGTTTGTATGTAAGTACTTCGGTATGTATTTATAGCTGCAATGCATGTCAAATGTGCTATGCTCATATGTAAAACTGGATGTGTATTTGCATGTGTGTATAATTTTCATAATATTTTTTTCACTTTTGTTCCGCGATCCTTCTTCTTTCCTCTCGCTTAACTAAAATAATAAAATATAAATCACGAGCATAAGAAAAAAAACTCAATTCAACGCTGCTTCCTTACAACGCCGTCGCTATCGCTGCCACGGCAAATGTATGGAATACCAGCTAAAGTAAATGAAGAATTTAAAAGCGAGGTAAAGGAAAAGAGTCACTGCAAGGAAATAAAATTTATTGCATTCCTATTGTATTATTATTCCCATTTTCTTTCCTTTCTTCGCTGCTGCTGAGATTTTTTCATTTTTTTCTTTCATTTTACTGTTGGCATAAAAAACGGCAGCAATAATAATGGCGTAGGCAATCAAATGAAGTAAATAACGGTTTTTAAAATTCAGGTGAAATAGTTAAATGAGAAATGTTGATATTTTAAATGTTAGTTTGCGCATAACTGAGTGAGTGTGTTTGTGTGGAGTGGAAAAAAATATGGTAACGTTTTGTTTCCGTGAGCGACAGGGCAACGTTTGCCCGAAATTGGCGCTTGGCAGGATTATGAGAGGAGCTTAAACGGAGGAGGAATGGATTTTGTTTACAGTATTTTTATGAGGAAGAGAAATATTTAAAGTGCAAATGCAGGAAACAAATATGGTAGGTGGTTAAATACAATTTTTTTTTATATTTCTCGAAAACTAGAAAAATTTTAGAAATTAATATTTCTTCTTTATTAAAAAGCAACAAACGAAGGAGGCAGATAATAACTCCCAATAATCTTATAATCACATCATAGACTGCTGGAGAAAATAATACCAGCTACAGACCTAAATATTGACATTATCGGCCGCAACAACTGCGCTGCGAGTTCTGCTTTCCTTAGACTGGAAAAGTGAGCGAAGAATATGGGGTCTGGTCATTGTCTGCAGTCATAACTTTGGAGTCGTAGCCAACTTCGTCTATCTTGGAATCAATATTAACACCAATAACTATGTCAGCCTGGAAATCCAACGCAGAATCAACGGATTTTACTTTGGACCGAGTGGGAAATTGAAAAGTACAGTCCTCTCACGACGAACGAAACCCAAACTCTACAAGTCGCTCAGCGCTCACGACCTGCTATATGAACGACGACAACATGTGATGAGTCGGCATTTGGAATTTTTGAGATAAAGGTTTTTGCGTCAGATTTATGATGCTCTAGGAGCTGTGAGTGGTGAATAACGCAGCTGTTAGAACGACGAGCTGTTCGAGATATGTATATGACGATATTGACATAGTTCAGCGAATCAAGAAACAGCGGCTGCGCGAATCAAGAAACAGCGGCTGCGGACCTGACTAAACCTCTTATTACCAATTGGCGTTAAACTGCAAAAAGAAGGCATGAATGGCGCGATGTGGTTAACTCGGCTATAACAGCGTAAGCGTAAACGGCAGTAAAGAAGAAGAAGCATATTCGAAGTAAGAGTTGCCATTCTGAAGATTCAGGTTCGAGTCCTGGTTGGATCAACATCCAGATTTATAGAAAATATAGTTTTCCAAAAATCATCAGACTTTCGGAGGCGGCTTGTTATGAGCTCTAGAACCTCTCCATTCGTTTGAGGAAGAGCTGGAACGAAAATCGATTCAGCAGGAATAAAGCGCCAATTATACGAAGGGCGGCTGAGTTTTTCGTAATCAATGGTAGTAAAGATAACATAAAGATAACGCCACATAATGATAATTGTGGAACTCATTTAATATAAATAACACAACTATCTTTTTTAGGTCCATTAACACTTCGTTCCTTGAAGAGCAACCACACTATGTCAGCGAAAACTGCGAATTCTCGAAATTTGGTGATTAAATTCCTTATAAAAAATGAAGTTCGCCGAAAGCGATTTTTAAAGATATGTTATGGGTTTTTCGGTATGCTGTCACTTCATATCCGATGGTGAAAAAATTTGCTCGACTGTTTCAGCAAGAAAGAGAGTCCTGTTAAGATAACTCCCGGCGCCCAGTAACGGTCGTGTCCGAAGAAAATATTTAGAAAGTTGAAAAATTAGCACTGACTAAAATAAGAATTAAATTGTGACATATAGTAAAAGGATCAAAAACTAGCAGTAACCTTTTCTTTTTTATTTTTTATTTAAAAAAGAAGTTACTTGGACGAAGATTTTCAGACGACACTGAGATTAAAGCTGCGTTTTTAATAAAATTCCAAAGATATTTTTTCAGTGGTATAAAAGCATTTTATTCACGATACATTTCTTTCAACAAATACCTTAGGCCGCAAGCTTATCAGCCGCCTCTCAGTTATGTATATAAATATGTATATATTTAATAAGTTTTCCTTCGCATTAAAAATATTTTTGTTTGTTAATTTTTTTTCAGCTCATTCCATTCAATTGACTCTGATTTCACATTTGTTGGGTAGTTAATTTTTTTTTTTTGAAATGAGCACCATTTTATTGCTGTCTATTGGAATATTGGATGATATTCGAATATTGGGTTAAAAAATTTTTTTTTATAAAATTGTGTTTTCTTTAAGGCGATTTTTAACAAGATCTTTTTCTGTGTAAATGATTTTTTTCTGAACATTTTAAAAGAAGGAAATGATTTTTTTCTGAACATTTTAACAGAAGGAGAAGAGGACCACCAAAAGGTTGCTTTAAAATAAAAAAATTAAATTTTGTCTTAATTTTTCTTCTTAAAATTCACACTACTTGAATAAAGGCACACTTTCAAAGTATAGAAAATAACTAGACTTTCTATGTAATTTTGTTCCAATAGCATCAATTATTAACTGACTTAAAGTGGATAATAACAGGAATTTTTAGAAATTTCCCTAAATTAATAAATTTAATTTT